AAGGAGTATAAATATGTGTGCAGATTAATTAGCAAGGGCGTCATGACAAACCACTTCTTTTTTGGAGATTTATTTGGAAAACTGAATGTTTTGCTTGTTTATTTTCCTGTTATTTCAGGTTTATTACTGTAGATTAACCCTACAGCTAGTTCTTGTTTTGTCTCAGGGCATCCATGTGGGCTAAAAAGCGACAAATCCACCCTCAGAAGATGCCAGCCACCTCAAATGATTCCCTTTGATTCACGGAGCAGCTGTCAAACTTTAAGCTGCATGTATATGAGCTCTTGTTTTTTATTAATGATAAAAAAAAAATATGAAGAATCTTCTCTGAAATTGAAGTGTTTTGTAGAGAAGAATGGGTTAAAATATTGAGTGGATTGAAAATATGTTGAGGTAAAGGTAATCCACACTTTTCAGACTTTGATTTGTTGCAAACATAATGACAAGGAAATGAAACCCAGTCTCATTTTCTTCTGCCTCCAGGGAAATAACACATATGCAGAATTTGTATTATCCATGATCAATCAAACACAGGTTCTACTCAGAGGCAAAGAAAACTGCAATCTCTCCAAATAAACCCAGTTTCACTTTGGTCTTGTTTATTCAGCTCTTATATCCCCAAACAAAACCAGTTCAACCAGTTGCCTTTAGAAGAATGGGTTAAAATGTTAGGCGGGTCTACAAATTGTTTACTAAAATGCAAGCCACACTTTGCAGATTTAGATTTGTGACAAAAATAATGAAAAGGAAATGAAAACCAAGTCTTGTTTTCTTTTTTCTTTTTTTTTTTGCCTCAAGGGAAATTACTTTTTAACATAATTTGTATGATCTATAAATCACAGGAGCACAATCCATATTCCTAAGGTCCAAATGTCATTAGTATCAGATTTTCCCTCCATCAAAACCATTTATAGTAAAAATACCGCTTCATTGAGACGAGTCTTTAATACAATAATAATACTCTTCTGGATCGTTAGCAGGAATCAGACACCTTAAGCATTAGAGTTAGAAAAAGTTAAAGCTAATCTTTACCTTCTTTAAGCATCTAAATCTGACATTATATACCAAACTGCATTTTCATGATTATGATTTTTTTTTTTAAATCATACAATTTATTATATTTTTTAAAAGTCAGAGAAAAATCTTTTTCACTTCCATGATAATGTACATCTAAGATTCCTAGCTCTATCTCTTAACAGTTTCCAATGGCTTCCTGTGCAGAAAATGCTTGCTTTCAATCTCTATATAAGGCCACTTTACTTAACAGATCTATTTTAGGAGCTTTATTATCCTCAAGATGCACTTATTATGTGCAACACAACAGAAATCCAATAGCTTTGCAGCAATGTGCAATTAGTGCCCATGATGATTATGTAATTCTGTTGTTCGGCTGAGAGATAACCTAAAGGCTTTCTGAGGCGTGTGGCTGCAGGAGAGAGGAGAAACACAGTTATTGTTACACATGTGGAGTGGAAACATGACATGTGATCTGCATGTTTGTGTCTTCACTGTAGTACAGATAGATTTCTGTCTGCAGGTTGGGCAGAAGTTGAGCAGCTGTTGGTCATTGTGTGCAGAAGCTGACTCATTGTTGCCCCCTTGTGGTCTCTTTACTGTACTGCTTCATAAAATGTCAGGAGACCCAAACCTATTTAGCTAATTTGCAAAACATGACGTCCTTTCCAGTTTTGATTAAACAGATTGACTAAGTGAAGAAGAATATAATAATAAAGTGAAGATTATGATTTTTTTTAAACTATAAAATATTATTAAGCATTGTATTTAGTATTGAGAAAAATGTGTAATAAAGTGTTTCCATTTTTATTTTCCACTTATAACACAGATAAATCTAGGCTGCAAGGGTGTTAAGCATAATCCCTACATGTCAGTCTCAGTATCCCAAAGGTCTGTCTCATGCCTGCTTGTTTTAATTGGTTAGAGGCCAACTGTTCTGTAAATGTTAGATCAATGATGACAGACACGTGTCCAAGCACAATAATACAGGAAGAACAATCATGGGGGAAATTAACTAGAAATTCATTTAGGATTTACTTTTTTATCAACCTATTTGCTTGTTTGTTTATACACATTCTTGGTTTTCATACAAATATATATTTCTATAGATATATATCCATATATAA